CAATATCTCTGATTTTCTCAGAAATACAAGATTGCAGTCCTCTACCCTTCATTTTAGTTTATGTTGTTAATGTTTTTTTTTTTTTACAGATTCCCTTGTTTAGAGGACTGCCGTAAAATGCGCCAGTAGTAGAAAATATTGGGCATGCATATCCTGATTTAGTCTGTGTACACTGTTAGCCCTTTTTACTGGTCTTAAACTTGGGAAGTTCACTTATTAAAGTTGGATTGGGAGAAGTGTAATGGATGGAGGCAGAGCTACCCGGTAGCAGGAGGCAGATGGGGGGGGTGTTCTTCACGAGGCGTGTGGCTTTGAATGAGACTTACCGCACATGTCTGGAAAGGTGTTACCTTGGATAAGGGTAAAGGGATCTACGATCATACAGTTATTCTCAAAGGGACACAGGGCTGGTTGTGAATGGGACTTCGGGCGGAAGATGATATTGTTGGATAAGTGGTACATTGGAAAGGGAGATGGGGATGGAAGGCATTTAATGGACTGCAGTGAGGGAGGAACCGAAGTTAATCTCAAAGGGAATTGGAGTTGTAAATTTTACATCAGCAGAAGGTTGTATTGTTAGATAAGAAGTAAACGAGAATGGGAGCCAGTCAGTGGGCTGGTGTGAAGGATGAAGTTCATTCTCCAAGGGGTATGGTTGGGGATGGGATATCGGCGGAAGGGTGTATTGTTCGATAAGATTTACATGTAAGAGGAGATGGAGGCCAGTCCGTGAGCTGATGTGAAGGAGAAAGGTCATTCTCACAGGGGGGTGGTATGGTTGGGACATGGGCGGAAGGGTGTATTGTTTGATAAGATGTGAGAGGAGACGGAGGCCAGTCTGTGAGCTGATGTGAAGGAGAAAGTTCTTTCTCAAAGGGGGGGTGGTATGGTTGGGACATGGGCGGAAGGGTGTATTGTGTGATAAGATGTAAGAGGAGACGGAAGCCAGTCTGTGAGCTGATGTGAAGGAGAAAGTTCTTTCTCAAAGGGGGGGGTGTGATTGGGAACGGGACATCAGCAGAAGGGTGTAAATCACTTTAACTCAGGATAGCGCCATGTGAACTTGAACCGCATGCCCGTGTAATACGTCTTGCGAGTATGTACATCTATTCACGCACGTGGATGAAGCCCTGATCACTGCACTTAAATATAATTCCTGCACTGCTGGCACCGGATGAACAATATCAAGTGCAGGAATAAACACACATAAATTTAGCAACGGTTGTAGCAGGGTTTAATGCTGAGGAAGTCTGGGAACCATGCGTGCGTGATTGGGGTACACATTACAGGTGTAGCATATCCCCAGAAGGGGAAGTCAAGGTCCCCATGGACTTGGGCAGCAAAAATTGCTGACCAGGTTTTTCTTCCTTTCTTTCCCCTTGAATGGGCCCTCTCTGAATGTGAACTAAATTGGTACTAAAAGCCAGGGAGGGGGAAATCACGAGCAAACGAAATAGCCTTTGATCGGGAACTGGAGACAGTTGAAGTTTGGCTCTTTTATGAACTGGAAATTATGAATTTCCTTCCACATACTATTACTAACAGAATGCCTGTCAGGATTTCTTCATGTTTGAAGTGGTCCATTGAAAGTCCATAGAGGCAAAAAGTGATGGAGTAGCCCTAATGTAAATTGACTGCTGCAGGTACTATTGGTTAACTTCTTCCTGTAAGTGCTGGGATGGATGGGAGCTTGAATGCTTCATGCCCCAGAGCTAAGCAACTTTCCCGGTGGCTCAAATGCGTGTGCAGAATTAAATGGGTCAGCATGTTGTTCACCGAATGAGATGCGGGGAAGGTCGTTTAGACACAGGGACGGCTGATGGGTTTAACCGCCGCATGCAGTATCCTAAGTCACCTCCAGCAGCACCTCCCGTTTGTTTTGTCCACACATACACTAAGTCTTGAGAGGCCTGCCTAGGTTTGTGTTGAACTCGAACAGCCGTGACCTGTTGTAGCAAATGTAACCCTGTGGCAGTGTCTTAGAAGTTAGAGTGTTGCAAAGTACATGTATGAGTATGCAGCAGGGAATATCTCATTGGCACTGCTCAAATGACACAAATGAGTCAGTGTTGAGGTGTTTGGATGTTTATCATAAGTACATGTAGACTGGTATACCGGGTACGTGTATCTTTTCGTTTTGAAAAATGAAAATTATCTTTTAGCCAAAGTAATACCTGTATTTTCACCAAGTGGTTAAATATAAGTTCCAGCTTTGTAGTGTCATTAGACAGAGCAGATAGGGAGCTCTCTTGTGGTGTATGAATACATTTTCTTTTCCAATTTCTTTTTTTGTGGTTTACAACATATATGTACTGTGTCCTGGAATACTCCGTCTTCAATATTCCAAAGCTCTAGAACAGGTAACAAAGCAAGAGAAATTGACATGACAAAGATTTGACATCACACAGTCTTGATTGTTTAGTCTGGTCTGAAATCAATATCCTACAGGCATGATTGTCATTTTATTGGTGGCAGGACCCTGTCCCAATAACTTTTGGGTAAAAGGGGGAAAGTTCCGTGTTTAGGAATAAGCAGGACAGAGGGGCGATTGGAGGTGGAGACTGGGATACGATGCAGCTGTGGAGGAGAAGCACCAGGGACTTGGTGGAAGCCATCCAGTGCGTCATTACCTGCCAAAAAAATTGATTGACTCTGCCAAGTGGTGGTTTCTCTGTTCTGAAGTGCTCAGGTCTGATCTGTCCTGCCTGACCAGCTGTACTCTTTACATGTTTGTCCTTGGAATGGTATATAGTAAGGCATTAGTTTTGTAATACTCACTACCCCTATTAAACCAACCACCCTGTTTACTTGCAAGATGGTCTCCAGCAAAACTCGTTGACTGATTCAGTCTCAATTTCAACACTTCAACAGTCCCACAATCAAACGCGACAATGCCCCACTCCCAATCACTCTAAATGTGCATGTGCATACACTGTACATGTACACCAATGTACCAGTACATGCAGGTCTTCAATTTTAACCCCAGTTCACAAACTGTCACTAAACGTTTTTCCATGCAGACTTAAATGCATTCTTCAAATGTAGGTCTCCTTCTCTGACCCTTGGCTGAATATGTATGTTCAGAGATCTATATTTACCCTGATTGTAATTGATGTTCTACTTTGTCACTGCTTTTTACCCTCTTGGATTGTATTCCCCATGTAATGTAACTCTGTATAATTCATAATGACAATAGTAATAATATACTTTTCCTCAATGAAGCAGCCCATCCCCATGTTTTTTTTTTCCAGCCCAAACTTCAAATTTTAAAAATCACAGATCTCCAGCCACTTTTCATAAGTAAGTGGGACACTGCTAGTGCTGCGTCTTGGGAGTGGTTTTCGTGTTTTTTTAATGCTCCAAAGCACTGCCACAAAGCAATATTTGCTACAATGACTGGCTATAGCTCTCGATAGATCCATAGTACTGACACACAGTCAGCTTCCACGGACTAGCTATACTGTCTGTGTTTTGCGTGGGGATTTTGCCAACACAGATCACCACTACTGTGAAGAAAAATTGTGAAACTGTCATTGAATTTTATCATGGGCTGAAATGTGCATGCCCTCCAACGTCAACTCTTAAAGAGGACGCCTGTTTGGAAATTATATTTAAATTGTCAACTAGATTTTGATGGGTTTTTTAAAAATCAGACAAGAAAAATAAAGCAGTGTTTTCTTTGAAACAGTGGGTAATAATAAGTTCAACAAGCAAGCAGAAAATTCAGGCCTGCCACTTTGTCTTGACTCATATCCAGATGTAACAATACATGTTCATGGAAGTACAGCAAATCACTGGCTAGAATTTTGAAATAGCCTTTATGATATAAATGTTTGCAATACACCTTTTTTAAGCTTAAGCTGTGTTTTTTACCTTTTTCTGGTTGTTCATTATCATCATTGATAACGTTGTACATGTTCTTCGAAATTCACATCCATTGTAGTTTCGTCTTTTTAGTTCCATTCCAGCCAACAGTTCCTTTTGCCGAAGTTTGTATCTTCTAATTGAGTTACATGTATTCATTGTACATGTTATGTTTAGAATTCTGAACTTGGATTTCGATTAGAATTTTAAATACTGTCAGCCTGTTGACTGCTTTTAATTTAGATACAATTAACCCTTTAATAAAAATAATATTCCAGTCTTTTGTCCTAATTTCAATTTGTTCTAAGTGATATGGTACATACATGTACATGACTAAATGCGTGGTCTGGTGTGTTTGGAATTGTTTGTGTGTGTGTCTTCTCCTAGCCTTGTTTGTTTTTGCCGTAGACTTGTTACTTTTGGTCCTTACATGTTTATTTCCCTTCCCTCAAGCCCCACATAACCCATGCAAATGGATTTTAGTTCCCATTTCCAATCCAAAAACACAGACCTTCTTCCCGACTGTCTGAAACTTATTTGGGGAAAAAAAAATCATGGAATGCTTGGCATGCGATGAGATATGAACTTGAAAGCAGTGTCTCCACAATATTTGCTTGAGCAGGAATCCATTCACGGTAACAAATATTTTTGTCAAGTAAGATTTTTATGATGATTTGGTAACTACCCCGGGTGTCATGGAGGATTTCCGAAGGGGGGGGGAATCTTTTTCAACTCTGACCAGTTATTCTGTGTCATTAACCCAACTTCTGTATATGTTCCCCACATGATAAATTAGTAGGAAATCCCTCCCCAGAGTCTTTGAGGGTGTGATGTCTCACTGAGTTGTTTTTGCAGTCATGTTTTAAACAGATTACCTCTCCTACCCCCCCCACCAGCTTGTTCATCTTGGTAGTAATGTAGCTCATGAAAAAGGGCCATCCATCATGCAGGTCATAACCCAGCAGGGAGAACACCTGTTGGATTAATAAACCTAGGATATGTATGTAAGCTGACTGCAGTTCAACAGTGCCATTACTCAATCAGATGAGATAGTTTGTCTCCAGATTCATTCCATTGATGTTGTGTACAATGTATGTTTCATGTTTTTGTTTTTTTTTTGTTTTCTTTTGTCCTAGGCCAACTTCAGTCAAGGAGAGCCTGACATCATCCCATCCTCTGGAAGACTCGGAGAAATGTGTAAGCTTACTGGAGGGTTAACCGTTGGGGCCACTTGTGAAATTCTGGCTTTTTGTTGGCTCTAGCTTTCCATCGAGACTCCAAAATCAGTCTCAAATGCTTTTTGTGTGAACTACTCAAATGCTTTTTGCGTTAACTACACTCTAAATGCTAGCCCCAGTATTAACAAGTTGATGTTTATCACAGCAGGAAATGGGAATTCATTTGGCCGTGGTGTCTTGGCTCAGAGGACCAAGCGTGACATGAAGTAGGAACTTGCAAAACACCTCAAATTCTTGGACAGTTTATATTGTTTTCATTTTAAAAGGAACTGTCCTTATTCTTTCAAAATCCACTCCAGTAGTCACCCTGTACAGTGCAATGCTTTCTAATGTTGCAGTTGTGACCAGTCACAAGACACATGTTGAACAGTGACAAAGAAATGCCTTTGTTGCAATTCATCTGACTAACTTGTGACTTGAATTCAGACTGGAGGCCTTGTGATGATCTTGTGATGGTCATACCAAGAGGTGATTTCATGATGGTTTGAAGTGCTACATGTACTTGAAGAGCTGCAAAAATCGGGTGTGGGTTTTGAGGAAAGGGATCCTCTGAAAGGCTGGAGAAGGTTTAGGAATGACTCTACAGGGTTGAGGAAGGCAGAGCTCAGTCCATAGAGATTAACAATGGCTTTATGTTTCCTTGATGCCACTGGGTTTTTATGCAGCAGAGAAGTTTAGAGGAGAAAAGAAATGTTCCCTGGCAAAAAATACCTCCATATGTCATTTGGGTTGACGATGAGCATTTCACAGTGTATGTCCATGTGGGATTTTCCGTATGAAGTAGGCCCTAAAAGTCAAAGTAACGACAGACGATGTGGCATTACCTCATATTTTTCCAGGCCATCAATATTGCCACATTGGCAAATGGCAACAGCTTTGCTGGTGACTCCTAATTTTTAGATGGAGCACAGGTCAAAGAAGGCAACAGCATCTGCACATTTGCGCTGGTCCCCTCCCCCCGTTGCATGTTCAATGTACACAATGGTTGCATACATGTAAGTCATGTGTCATGGAGGTTCATAGCGATCACGTGCAATACATGTACGTTCACTGACCCGGCAGGGTTATACTATTTTTAGAAATAATAGAAGTCAGCAAATGGTACAGTCTTCCAGTGACAGATGTGTGTAAAAACAAAAGCCAGATTTTGATCAGTTTCGGAACAGTTGAAACATGGAGTTTGTGTCAAGTTTTCATGGTGTGAAAGCAAAGCACTTGACAATTGTTTTTGTTTCCTGAATTCTCGTTGTTGCATGCCCGATGGGAAAGCCCCTCTGGTCCAAAGAGGTTACCTGCCTGAACTGCTTAGCTTTCTTTACACCAAGTTACATGTGTAACTTGACACAGAAAGAAAAAAATGGATTCCTATTTGCCACACAGTAAAATGTGCAGACAGCAATGTCATAGCCATGTGTACTCGTGTAAACCTTATCCTAACTCCTTAGCTTAGGGTGTGAGTGAAATCTGATTGAAATCGGTGGATTTAGTCCCGTGTGTCAGTTTGCAGACTCAAGGCAGCAGACACGCGGCAGTGTCTACTGCCCAGTATGCCTTGTCTTGCATGCAATCTTGTACTTGTTATGTTTGGAGAATAACATGATTTCCTCTATAGGCTGCAGCTCAGAAACACGAAACCAATTTATTAATATCTGGCCCCGACATGAAGGCAGACTAATTTCCTTTATGAGAGAAACGAGGCAACTTCAGTAGCTTAGGCCTCATTAACCCCACCGACTTCATCAGGATGCCCGACCATAGGATGTCCAATTTACTCTTTGTCCAAATGCCGAAGTAATCATCCGCTTGCGTTTTCAGAGAGTATGGAGAACTTATTCCCCCCCCCTGCTCTCCCACCCTCTCAAAAGGTTTGTAATTCTTGCTTCCCTCTGCCAGCTGGCATCGATTTAAAAGGATGTTTGATAAGGGGGTTCATATGCCCCAGAGATGAAGGGCACTGACTCTGTTCCTGGACGTTTGTGTAGGGAATGTGCTTGCTCCAACATTCCAATGTTTGGTCATCCCAGAGAACTATAGTGCAAAATCTAAGAGCTAACAAAATGAAGAAAATTTGTGGTTCTTAAATGAAAATGACAGATATGTTACGTGTAACACGTCGACAGTAGAATGTTTGGAAGGATCGGGCTGTACATGCATGAAGACTGGTGTGAAGCATAAGCTACAATATAACATCCACTCTTGTTTACCTCTTTGCTCTTCCCCTACCTTCCCTTCCAAGGGCGGTATCGATGTACCGTACAGTATGTAGATCCGAACCTTCAAATTGCAATGGAAGTTTGCTGTGTCTTTTGCTCAGCCATCTCAACTACATGTATTGGAAAGTTGTCACTCATGTCATCAAACAATCCAAGACACTTTGAAAAATTATGTGTACACTGTACTGGGTACATATGTACACGTATTAGCCAAATCTAGCATTGTGCACGTAAACATCAATCGCTCATTGGCAGCTTGAGTCTTTCCCCTTTGTCCAGGGCCACTACCTGTGAGGTAGGCTGGGTGACTGCAGGTCGTTAGTTATTGTCACTCCCTGCCAACATATACAATGGGAGTGAGCTGTTTGTTAGCAGGATGTGCCGTAATTTATGGCATTACTGTAAACGGACGCACATTCATCGGCATGTGTGGAACCCTACTTTTTGTATAATCGCATGCGTCACAGTTTATTGGATTTGAGCCAGTTTCTTTCTTTCTCTTTTTTCCTTCAGTGCCTCAATGTTATTATGCTAGCCTAGACCAATAAGGGAGAAATCAATCGCCAGTTCATAACAAAGAAACTTCCTCCATGCCGTGAATTTTGGGAAATGTGCCAAGTCAAGTGCAAGTGTGTACTATACATGTACATTCCACTTGAGTACCAGCCTTCCAGTTTTAGCAAACAGCAGCTATTTAAAACCATTTGCAAGAAAGTGATTTGAAAAAAAATCTACACATCTATTAACATTTTGAATCATGCACAGGCTTGTTATTTTTCTCAAGTAGACCGTTTTCACCAGATGAAGTTACAAATTGAAACTTGTGACAGTTGGTAATCTCCAGATGATGAACAGAGCTCACTATTCGAAATTCAAAGTTAAAACAACTCATACATGCATATGTATTTCTATGAATCACAACTCCAAAAAAAAAAAAAAAAAAAAAAAAACCAAGCAAAAATCACAGCCCTTCCATTCAACAATCACCCCCTCCCCTAAATGTTCTCTCTCATTGTACAGTATTGGGACAGGTTGCAGCAGCAGGAATTCCACATGCTGCGGAAAGTACAAGGCCTGCATGCCCCTCTCAAGCTGCAGATGGAGTTACATGCAGCGAGACAGGTACCTACCAACAGATACTTATTTGCTTGTGACAAAATCAAAGCACTTTACAATGAAAAATAAACCAGTAAGCAGCAAACAATAAAGAAGGAGGTTATGTACGCCCAGTTGTATTGTTGGACTTGTGTACTCTGTAAGCTCTCTAAAAATGAGCTGGAAAAACTGGCAGAATTTTGTTGTTAGTTTCCCCAAGCAAGGTACTTTACTGTGATACTTCTCATCCACCCGTAACATACGGGGTTACTCTAAGAGAAGTAAGTGAATGTGAGAAGTTGAGATTAAAAATTGAGCAGGTTGCTCGATGAAAAGCAGAACAATACTGAACACCATGCTCATTCCATTTTGTTCATTGAAATGTCAAATGAGTAATCTGATCCACGGTGCCATCAGTCCAGTGACCAGGCATGTCTATTTTCACCCTGAAACCTCAGACTCAGCAGGCTGAGATGCTAACTTCTGTCTTTCCCTTCTGTCCAACCTTAATAATCAGATTCAGAGAGCCCCCTGTCTACCCAGCTCCAACGCCAGCCTGGACACACTCCTTGGCCGGGATGAAACCATTGGCTTTGAAGACTATCTCAATGGTGAGCAAGAAAAGGGATCAGCTCCTTGGTTGGGGCCCATTTGCTCTGTTGTCCTTGGTCTTTTTGCTCAAGGTCATTTATTGTTTGTTTGTACAGTCAAAAACAAAAATCACTATACGTGGCCTGGGAGCCAAACTTTAAGTGACTTAAACGTACAAAGTTAAATAACACAAAGTCATACAAGTATAAAAAAATAATAAATAACGAAAAACACCACATTAAGAAATAGACTAAAGCTATGAAAACATATCAATACTAATAGTTGCAGCTAACAAAGCCACAGATCAATGAATAATAAAATGGAATTTTAGCTTCTTGAGAGATTTTTTGTCATATGAAATTATCAGTATTGTTCAAGTCTATTTCAGTTGTTTTGAAAATGGAAATTCTGATTTGGGGTAAAACTTGTTTCACTGGAATATGGCTTAGGAATTTACATGTAGGTCATTACAACTTGCGTAAAATGGAGATAAAGGATTGAAGATCGTAAAATTACACTTTAGTCCGGAGATTGAAGTTCTGAGAAACAGCCTGAGAGAGAAATTGTTAGGTGAGTGATGAAGGAAAATGTTTGGAATCACTGATCAATTGAGATGTTCCATTCAGGTTAAAATAAAGAAGCTGTGTATCAGACTTGCAGCGTGCAGGGCCGGGTTTCTCTCGAAATGATCAACTTCATAAAAACCCAGGATTTACCTCAGGAAGGAAATGAAGGTCGATGACCATCTGCCATTGACCAGCAGCCGAGTCCGGATGCACTTGACTTCCCTCCCCTCCACCTTATTTATTGGTCAGCAGAGACCTGCAGTTGTATTGAAACTCATCACCTGGTGCGGAGATGACCTTGGGTCTGACGTGGGCCATTTGGCCGTGGACAGTCCGACCACAACATCCACAGAAATGGAGCTTTGGAAAAGGATTTGTTAGTCTTTTGATATCATTTGTTGAAGTCATTGTGCCATCTGGGAGGTCAGCAGGTCATGGTCTCTGTTCAGGATGTGGTGGTGTTTTTGATGTTGGGTCTTGGTTTAAACCCTGCACTGTTGTTGGGGACAAGTTTAGTACAACGTTCAAGCCATTTTTGTGTTTTTTTTTCCTGTGTGACATACTTCCTTGTTTTTCTTGTCCTGTACTCAGCACCCATGAGGTGAAGGTATTCAGCAGGATTAAACTTTATACAGTATCTTGATTGAGAAAGTTTGACAGTAATAAGGATCAGGCATAGTCAGATCACTACTCTTACATGGTTGTCCATGTGGTAGTGTTGACCTTTGTCCATTGCATTGAAATGTATTCAGGCATGTTTTTCAAATGAACGGCAGTTGTGAGTGATGATGGAAACCGAGCTTGCCACAGTCATTCCTTCACAGAAAGTTTGTGCTTTTAAGTAGTGTCTCAAGCAGTCTTGACAAGAAACAGGCGAAGGGACAAAATGATTGTATGCAAGACAAAAGGCTTACCTAATTAGGATGAAACAGAAAAATAACTTAAGAATTTGACGTAGACAGTGGAAGATTAAAGTGAATCCCACAACAGAAAGTACAATGCATGGCCATGACCGTGAGTCATCGAGCTATCCACCTGAACTATCAGAACCATCCTGCAAGAGAAAACAAACTCTTACCAAGCCAAACAGGATCACACTGACCCTGAATATGATGTATCCCGGAATAGCCTAGGATTAATAAAAAAAAGAGTAGAATTTAAGCACCGCACTGCAACTCATTTCCTTAGCTTGTAAGCTCCGGTTCCCCTGTCCAGTCTACCTGCCTTTGTCTGGCCGGCCGTGCTGACACACCCAGTCAGTTTAATTGCCTTTAGCAGGCATTACTGCCTGGATTTAGTCCAGGGATTTGCAGGTGACGGTCAGCCGAGATGTGCCAGTCTGGGGGTTCAAGTGTCCTTTTGTGTCTCTTGGAGTTTTTTTCCTCTCTGAACAAGAAATGCATACAGCAATTACAGTCGGAAATTTGTAGTTGAGTGCTCTCAGAATTCTGTGTGAAAATACACTGGACAGCAAAAGAAACTTGCCACTTCTGTCGAAGGCCGCACAAGGAAGAAATTGACATGCACAGCAACTTGGTTACTGAATCAACAGTCACCGAATGTAACAGAGTGAGCCGTAAGTTTTACTTAGAAATCAATGTCACAGGACGAAATAAAGAAGACACAGTCATTACTTTTCAATAATGTGTATGCATAGTCACTAAGGATGGCATCTCTATACGGAAACCACTCATGCCCTTCATTTTGACAAAACAGGTGTTCACTTTGTCATTGGTTATTTAAAGTGTTGTCCACTCATGGGTCACTTTTGCTTGGTGGAGAGTGCTTTTGTGTGTTACTTTTGATTCAGTAACCAAGTTGCTGTGCATGTCAATTTCTTCTTTGTTATAAAGATAATCACTTGCTTTTGGGCATGTGATTAGTAAGGGGTGTTGCAGCATACCTGTGTACAAAAATTGTTTATTTCTATGGGAGTGAATTTTTATATGTGGCCTTTGACAGAAGTGGCAAGTTTCTTTCGCTGTCCAGTGTATGTGGACCATTTTGTAATGATAAGGCTGTATTGCTATAGACATAAGGCATTAAATTCTTGCATTTGGCATTAAACCCTTTGGGAATTAGAACTAAGCTTTTGAGAGGAAAGTTGTCTGAAGGAGCTTTCCGACTTCTTGCTAAGTACTTTTAAATACCTTTGCCCCAAATTTAATTAAACAGTATTTATATGAAGTCGGTTTAAGAGGCTTTTCTCTAACACTGACTTCATTAGCTGCCCTTGGCCAATGTTTTCACTTTGTTCAAACAAACAGCTAAATATTTGGTGGTAAATAAGTATACGAGACGGTTGTGACACTTCTCCCTCTCTAGTTGTTTGTTCTCAGCATCATGTATGAGGTTTGAAAAGTGCAAGCAAGACGCCACAAGCTGCCAGATCTTTCAAATCCAGACCTCCATTTTACCCCCTTGGTAATCCATTCATTCCGGCTGATTAATCCCTCTTACTCCAACGGCTCGCCCCCTTCCTCCCTGCCCAGAGGCGATACCCCTACACCCTTTAAACAACTCCTCACCCTGTCCCACCCTGTCCCCTCCCCATGCCCCCCAGCGCCAAATCATGGCATTACCTTACAGCTGTACTGCATCCAGCCACATATTGTCTTGATAGGACCTGACATGTGACAGATTGAAATGAATCCAACCGCCAGGATTTTGTTATTTTTTTCACGCAAAAGACCGTCCGGACCTGTTTGGTTTAGGAGGGAGTTATGGTGGGAGGGGATGGAAGAACACAAGTCTCATGGGAGCATCGACTGGCTGTAATCTCAAAATATGGGTTAAAAACTTAAGACAAGCTTCTGGTCGGGACTAGAGAGAGGATTGTTGCTGGCCCTCCTGATATATTTTGGTCTTAAAGTAGAACTTTGCCTCACCCCCGCATCTCACTGAAAGTCACCTGATAGACTTCATAATTCCTGGAAGGAAGACTTGGATTTGTGAAGCAGACATGCTTGCCTGCTGCCGAGCTGATATGTAATTATCTTTAACTTGAAAATTACATCATCGGTCACCTTGACTTTCCTAGTTGCCAAAGGAGTGTTGGAGTCTATCTATTGTAATACATTGTCTTCTTCAAAAAGCCTGATTAGCTTCGTTGCTTATGGACAGGCCATTTCAGGGAGGGACCTCTGAAACTGATGTTGAATTACTGCATGGGTCTTTGAAACATCATGGTGATCATTCTGCTTTGGCACCACTATAAAACAGGCTTTGCTTATTTTGGACTCCAAAAATGTGTCAGATAAACACCATGTTTACACAATCCCCACCAGATTTCCTTCAGAAATATCTGATTTTTGGAAAATTGAATTTCCTGTTTGTGATCAATACACCAGAAAGCTGTCAAGAGTTGAAGAGGAAATTGGGGACCACTTTTACTTCTCGCCGTTGTAAAGGTTACCAGACAGGAGTGAATCCAAAACAGCCAGGTTTTTGGTCTTTTTTTATGCGGATGAGAGCTTTGTGAAGGAAATGCTTTACACATAAGCCTTGCAGAGTATTAAAGCGCCATCCCAAAGGTCACTGTACGGTTTCAATTTGAAGGAAGACTTTTGGGCTGAAGTTTCCTCATAGCTTTGGGGAGACAGTGGTGAGTGAACTGCCGAAGATTTGGGCAAAGATGTAGTGAAATGCTTCTTCTGATTTATGCCCCAAGGAAACTTGCATGTTTCTTCTAGTGGTGGAACTTAACTGTCTCAGTAATTTGAAGAAACTTTGTAAATCTGAAATACAGTGAACTTGGAAGAAAAAAAAACCAGGGTAGCCTTAGGCCACAAAATTTAAACTTGACCATATTTGGGAGCTTTTTCTGGGGAATTTTTTAGATGCCTTTTCAACTGTAAGCAATTAATGAGAAGTGGGGGGATTGTGAAAACACTGGAGATGGATTGCTAGACATTTGATACGTCTGTCCCCCTCCCCTTTCTACCTTGGGACCAGGCCTATCAGTGACCTGTGTCCCTCCTACAGACAAATTTGCCTGGTGTTTTTGTGCCTGTAGCCAGACTGAGATCACAGACAAGATATTAGTTTAACCATTTGTCATCCCAACTACCCAGAGTTTGAAATGAGTCAGTTCTCTGTCTCTTTTAATTTTTTTTCTGTCCATTTTTCCCTCTTCTGGGTAAGTCTCACTTCTAGTCAGTGACTTGCTGTCGATTGCATCCACATGTTCTTTTGTGACCTGCAGCAAATCCCCTAGATGACCAATCCATATTTGATAGGATCCCACAACCCCCCAGGCTATGTTTGTTTTGATGCCAACTTTATATGTCCTCTTTAACAAGTCTTGGTTCTTTGGTAAATCACCACCGCCTTCTGGAACAAGATGGCTTGGAGGTCAGTTTATAGGGATGTCCATGGGAAAGCGGATCATGGAGTACGCATGCACTACATAGAGTTTTATTTGCACTTTGATTCCTTTCAACACTCCCCACCTGTGGATATTGGTGTTTTTCGTTTACAATACAGTCACGATATTTTTCTCTTTTAATAGAACTGCGGCTGTTTTTGCTCTGATTTCCCATCATTTTCTCAATTTTCACAGTTCTGTTATGCAGTTATACTTTTGGGGGTCTGCAGGGAAGTTTTTCCTGTTTTCCCCCTTCAGGGTCAAATATCATGCTAGACAAGTGGACCTTCTTGGAAACAATATGTTTTTCCTTTCCCCCTAACTCCCACTAGTGGCTGACCTCATTTGTGGTTGATGATCCGTGGTGCCGGTGATGGACAGACAATGCAGTCACACTTAGGTGTTATGTGTTTGCTGTCTCAAAATAATGTTATGTGAAACTGCGGAGACCAAATGATTTTGTTTCATGTGAAGATTTTCCTTCTTAGCAGTTCTGTTCTTCTGTTGTTGCTTATGGCATATAGGAACAGCTAATTTGATGCAGAAAACTTCTAATTGAAAGATGAATGTGTTATTAAATTTTCTAACCAAAGATTTTGTTTACAAACCATTGAGAGATAACAATGCTTCTAAGAAGCATAGTCCAATAAAAATAACCAATAGAGGGTTCTCAATATGACGCTTTTAACCTCGATCTGCGCACTTCTGCGTTTGAAAACGAGGCTGTATGTGTCAGCTTCAATTCTTAATACGATCAGACGATTGAAAGTAAGAAGTCAAGACACAAATACATACTGGTATGTTAAATTCAGACTTTTCAGGCTGCAGATTTTTGTGGAAGAGTCTTTCAGGATAACTCAACACGTGAAATCAAAGAAAAAATAATAGCAATTGACCGCAAACTAACGTACCTGCGATGGTCGTTTATCTTGTGCAGTGGGTGTGCTTTAAACTGAAGTGGCACCACACTTACGAACCAGATACTGCATGTACTGTGTCGACTCGGCCGGCATGCGCAACGAAGTTCAACACAGAGAGCCTCGGTTTCGATGCGGATATGCACAGACGGCGCTAATGTGAAATTCGTCTATAAAGCATTTTTTTTCTCAACAATTCAGTTCAGATTACATGTAACGGGGAATAAATTTTCTGAGAAGAGATTCTTTTTAATACAACTGAGATAACCAATACCTCTCACAAGTGCAGTTCAGTAAGAAAATATCGAAAAATGGCCTTTTTTTCAATCCACATCAGCCATTTTCTAATGAATATTCCAGGAGGGAATTATTTTGTAACAGAAATGATGTCTCTGACAAACACAGTCTAGTAAAAACACCAATAACAGCAAATTTATTTGCCTTCACATTAGTTTGTTTCTAGCGTCTTGATCTATTCAGTTTCTGCAACACTGTCATGTATTGTGCAGTTTCACTTTTTGTAATAGTTATTTATATTTTCTTTATTTTTGTCAATAGCTCCTGGAGATGCTGAAGTCATGGGCAACCCACATGCACTCATGGAGAAGCAGTTCGGCCTGCTTTGATTAAACGCCTGTGTAACATGTTATAAGTACCAGCGACATTTAACTTTACCTATGTGTGTGTACAGATTTCAAGATGCTCAGAGCTTTATCGGGAATGGTCATTTTTAGTCAAATTTTTTCAACAACCATGATGTCCTCTACAGTGTCAGACAAAAATGTTTTTATTTTCATGTGACATCCAGTCCCAAGGAAATAGAAACATCATTCCAAACAGCAGTTAAGTAGTTAAGTGTGTGGTAGACACGGCCCATGTCTTTGCCAAGGTGTTTTATGCAAATTGAATGTCATCGTGCACAATGTCGCCATCACTTGTGTCACAAGAGGGCGCTCTTCACAGTGTATGGTCAGGCCCTTTTTTTTCTTAACCTCAGCTCCGTGTCCCAGCTTGAATTTCGTTTCTACCCGACAATTGATGTGGAGTATTTCATTTCATTCCAATGATGCATATAAATTTGAAAGTCTGATACAAAGACGACAGTTGAAGATGAGCTTTGGAGGGGGGATCAATCAATCAATTGAATGAATGGGACTTCATCATATTGTATCCTTGGTCTGATTTGGGGGGGCGATGAATCAGCTAATACTTGCTCCCTTATAACAAGTACAATGTGATGTTGTTGGCACAGGAGAGGTGCAAGAAGGTGCATCCGAGCACATACATGTACATGTAAATTGTTCTTGAGGAAGAGAATACGATTTAATGCCCACAGCATGTATGCATGAAATGCGTACTCAACTCTCTTTTGTCCTGAATACTGCTTTTACTTAATGGCAAACATTTGGGATTAAATGTCATAATTCATGATGGCACGTTAAAAAGTATTTGTGAGACTGTTGCATTTCCATGAGCAGTGATTCAATTATTAGGATCTTTGTCGCACATTTATACTTGGAATAATTTCATAAATTGCAGAATATTCACATGTACATTCAGAAGTTTTAAAATACTTTTCTGTCATATTCAATTTCTAACAATTTGCTGCATGTACAATTTTGGAGATTTAGAGTGACCTACGATCCCTTTGTTTTTGCCCCTCACATTATGCAGAGGTCAGAGTTTGACCTCTTACCCCTCCAAAAGAAAGCAACACCTTTGATTATATCAGCTACTGATAGTCAATACTCATACATGAAAGAGTTGCATGCATTTTGTGCCTACTCAAATACCATAAACTCAATTTGACATACAAACAATAATTACTAAAATAGAACCGCTCTTAAAAAAATTAAACAAGCTTCAATACAAAATCAGATACATGTGTGTGACAACTTTACAAATTAATGTTTACTAAACGGGCACACGCTATTAAAAAAAAACATTTCTCTGAAGCATAATACTCGGCAGTATCGAACGAAGCCAACAAAATGTCAACCATGAACTAATAGGCCACTTTCTGGATAACAATCGTTGGATTGGTCAACAGATTTGAATTTCGTTCAGTTGTGCGCATTTTACTTATTGACCGAGGGCAGTGCTTTAGACCATGGGTGGGATATTGTAAAGGTGAATGGGTTTGAGTGACAGGGCAGTGTGTCCGTCTCCCTCAGCTAGGATCGTAGTGCTAGCAATGAGAATGTGTACTGGAATGGCTGTTGCGGATTGTGCAGTATTCTATCATGATCAACAACGAGCTCTTAGGTATTGGCACCGTTGCTAAGGCAGTTCTCAAGCAGTGCTAGGGACTCTGCATCAGAATAAGGTACCTGAATGCCAGACCAATGACATCTGGAATTGGCTCCAGATTATGGAGCCAGGTACCTGGGAATTACTTCTTACATTTTCAAAGAAAAGAGCACAGGTTTTAAAAACATGCTTGTGGGGGGGGAAATTTGAAAATAAAAATCAGGAGCATGTGAAATACACAAAGTGTACTTGATGAACAAAGGTTGTTGATAAGTAGTGTGGGTAATTGGCAATTTGAATGTATTTTCATACTTGCTTTTTCTGTTTTCTTAGAATTTGGGGGTTTGGGGTACACGGGTACCTGTGCATTACTTCATTAGAGTACTTGGTTCCTGAGCTACTTGCTAATGCACAGCACTACAGCAGAGTCAAGGGTATCTGTCCACAGTGTTCAGTCCGGTAATAATGGCTCAGCGTGGGCTGTATGATCTCTTTTGATCCTGGGAAACTGCTCACCTAAATAACTTGTTGTGCAGCACATTTGAGTTTTAACGTTGTGCAATACTGATGACTTTCTTTCTTCCAAACTGACTGCATAGGAATGTCATGGCAGTGACCGTCATGACCCAGGCAGTTAATGTTTTGATCAGAATACTGAGACACGTACCAAATATCCACAGCAATGGAGGCAATGAAATACTGGTTCATATATGAGAGATCATTTCCAACTGAGGCACTTCATGGAACTCTTGCAGAACCGCTCTATGACATTTCTGACGTCACAACACAAACACCATACTCCTATGACATCAAGTGGCTAGCTTGCACTTTAATAGAGCCAGTTGGCAGAATACAACACAAGCAAGCAGCCGTTTTGCATTGCAACGGGGTACAGACTATTATGACATCTGTGAGGAGCTAGGTTTGGTTTGGGAGTAGTCTTGACTTATTCCTCCTCCTCATCCTCACTCAGCAGGTGAACGCTCAGGTCACGGTCTTGCATCCTGGGCTTGGGCTTGACGAGCAGCCGCTGGAGCCTGCTAGGGGGCGGAGTCAACTCCTTCATCTCCAGGTCTCTCTTTGTGGTCCGTCTGGGTCGTACAAATCCCCGCCCCGATGACTGACTGCCTAAGCCGGGCATGTCTTTCTCGGCCATCTTGCTGTAGTCTGGTTTGCGGTATCTGTGAATCAGCAGGCATTGACAACAAGAAAATAAATTCTCCTTGCCTCTGTCATAAAGGAAACTACGGTCTATTCCCCAACAAAATGTTTAAGCAACTACTGCCCGTTTTTCATTCAATATGTCACCTTGCAGTACGTGAAAATTACATGGTTAAAAAAAGGTTAATCCTTGGCATTTATCCAGTGCATTGCTTTGTCAGCATGCCCTTTGAAAACAAATTGTAAAGGTAAAATGCACGTTTTATTTCAATCACATCAAGCATCAAGACTAGAAAGTTGCATTAACTCAGTTTGGATTGCTTGTATGATCTGGGATATAGAATGGATGTATCCCAATGCAAACAGGACAGAATAAAAAGGCCAAGAATGTCCTCTTTCAAACCCCGGATGTTGTAACTACCGCCTTTTGACATTTCCTGTTCAAAATGGACAGTATTGAGCTGCACCACTTTCTTTTCTGGGGTGTTACTCCAAAGCAAATTTCATGTTCTACTCTTATAAAAGTCTTCCTCTCTATCAGTGCTTAGAACCTCTTACTGGATATTGTCAAGACATTCTGCAGAAATCTTTACTGACGCCAACTCTCGGCGGACGATATCACGACATGCAGTGTGCACGCTTGTCTTCCTGTCCGTCGGTGTGACTATGTGCTTCGATCTTCCTGTAATGTGAGTCAGTCGGTCCCGAGGGAGTTTGCTTTTTTTCGCTGACAGTTCTGGGGTAGATTTGGCAGGGTACGTGACTCCCCATCTGTGCTGTATCATGCTATCCCAAGGCTGGTCGGGAGAACAAGTGGCTACGTGTACTCCCTACATTTTTGTCACTTATTTAGGTTATCGGTTCTGAACTTGTTTGGCTCCCCAAATTTGTTCTGTCGTTTCTTGACCCAGAATTTCCAGTCTTATCTGTTGCCGCTCGTTGCCAGGCACAGAGATAACTTGTACTTGTGCTTTCAATTTGTGATAAAACTGTTGTTGCTTTCTTTGCCAGTGTCTGTCCGAATATGGAGAGCTCTAAACTACACAGCTGTAACTTATGCAGAATTATATATAACGGGTTTGCCCTTACCCAACGTAGAATGCAGAATTTCACTTTTTTCCCCCCTTTTTATAAAATTCAATTCACTGCCCATGTCCGTACGGTAACAGGTTCAGTGGTCCAGCGGAACATGAACAAGTTCAAGACTTGGTGAGGATGCCTTAATGACCTTACACATGCACCAACAAGTTTGCAACCCGGCAAAGATAACTTATTCCATAACTTACAGCTTCAGCAGAAGTGAGGAGCTGACGACAGATACGCTAGATGTCGCCATGGCTGCAGCTGCCACCCAAGGTGGTAAAGCAATACCCCAGCTCATGAAAGCACCTGATGCAAAAATGCAAATTCAATTACTACCAAAGAGCACCACAGCAAAGCCCCAAAAAGACATACGGACCAATCACACCACAAGTTATTTGTACGCTTCCCTACTAAACTTCAACTCCATGGTTTATGCCTGTCTCCTGCAATTTTTGCGCATGTAAACAAAGGGAGATTTCGTCAATAGAAAGACCTGCCAAGACCATTTAATTTCTTCACATCCCTTCACATCTTGCAGTCTATGTGCCTGGGAGTTGAGTCTTTTTAGTGTAGCATTAAACAGGTTCTTCTTTGTTTTTCTCAGCACGTTAATATTAAATTTGCCAATTTGATAAATTTCCCACTCAACAAATGCATCAAGTCACATTCTCATCAACTACTTGTTTACCCAACTGGTAAATGTAATTTGTCAAAATTGTAACTTGCCAAGGTTACAGATTTGAAACCATGTTTCACATGATATATTCATGATTTTGATGCAGGCCCCCTTTCAAACTGAGTGGAATACCACCCACCTGCTGCAATGGGTATTGCAATGATGTTGTAGAAGAAGGCAAAGACAAGATTGAGTCTTATCCTTTGGACAGTCTTGTGTGACAGGTGGATGGCAGTGGGTACATCTAGTAAATTATCCTGAAGAGAAAAAAAAAGAGAACAGTATGAAGAGTGAGGTCAAAATACCTGTACTCTTGGCAGTGACATTAGTATTCCTTGTTTATCACTGGCTCCTACCTAATGTCTATAAAAATAATGTGGAGAAAAATAGGACGCAAATCTTCACACAAATTTAACGTCAGGGCAAGATATAAATGTTACATTGCTCTAGCGGTGAGATCAACCATTTAGGTTTATCATTTTTCTTGCAGACAGACATCAATACTCAATTTAAAGATGCAATGCACTTTTTATTTTCCATCCTACAAGGGCCGTCAAAGGCTCTTCAGGGGCATGTTACACTTTGCATATGGCTGCATACCACTAGCAATAAAGATATACTGGGCATGCTAACACCGGCAGACATAATGTACTATTGAACATGCCCCAGACTTGTGCCCCACCATGCCAAGACCTGGCTGAAGAAGAATAAACTATTTAGAAAATAATACCAATATGCCAAAAACACAGAAAGTTACCATTTTTCATCATTTATAACTTACTAAGCTATCTGCAGAGAGCATTAACTTGGCATTACTTTGAAGTACAGTGATTAACAATGGGAAAGGAATTGTCAAACATCAAAATAGCTAATTCAGCCGAGTTATGAAATGATGGGTCACATTTCCAAACGTATCAATGCGCATACGCAACTCGGTATTCAAGGAACATGACATTTGGAGACAGCTTCCTCATATTTTTGGTTTCCGCAGACCCACACACGGATTACAAAGAACCCGATAATGTTGTACCTTGATCAGCACTATATTGGCGGCCTCGATGGCCACATCTGTCCCTGTGCCGATGGCCATGCCGATGTCCGCCTGGGCTAGCGCCGGCGAGTCATTGATCCCGTCTCCCACCATGGCAACAATCTGCTTGTGGCGCTGTTGCTGCTGCAGCTCACGGACCTTATCCACCTTGTGCTGGGGTAGCACTTCGGCAAACACCTGGCCGATGCCCACCTGTGGACATCAAGAGTAATAATAGCTTTGCAAATGCATGACTGGACGTACATGTACTGTTCAATGCTCAGTGCTGCACTGTCTGCGGTTGGCAGCTTGGTGAGAGGAAATAATGTGGAGTGTCAGTTGTCAAAGAGGAGAACTTGTCCACTTAGCA